ACTTTCGCGGCGCCTTACACAAATAAGCGCCGCAAGTATTCAACATTTTAAAAAAAAATTCAATCATATTAAGGATCTTTCAAAAGTACGTCCTAGAACAGAATTAACAAAATACCAAAAGTGTAAACTTTTTAAAATCATCACAATATCAACAACATGAACTTCACAAATTACAAAATCAGCAAAGTGTAAGCAATTCAAGTAACCAACATAGATTACAAAAATCTTCATAAAAATGATTTCCAAAAACACTTAACACAATACATGACCAATGTAATCAACTTTTACATATTTAAGAGTACATCCAAGAAAAATCGTGCCCATATATTGCGAATGTTATTAAACTCATCTTCAGAATATGCCTCAGTTCTTGAATACCAATCCTACAAATATTTAGATAAAATAAAACATAAATAAAAAATATTACAACTTTTAAATTAGAAAAAATTAAACGAAGTTAAAAAATAAGAATAAATAATGATATACCTTTCCAATATCAAAGCGCCTCCTAGGAAATCGGAACATGTATGCGGCGCTTTTTGCATATAGGCGCCGCACGCCTCTTTTTAAAATCCGATTTTTAAAAAAAATAGTTTATTTTTGAATAAAAATTTGGCGTCGGTCTGCGGCGCTTTTATAAATAAGCGCCGCAAAGACCCGAAACATTAAATAATTAAAAAGTTAAATACATATTAGAGGCGCTTAGAGAGAAAAGCGCCGCACGTCGTATATTTTAAAGGCGCTTGTTTTTTAAGCGCCTCAAATGACGTGACGCAGTTTAACAAATTTTTACTAGTGAGTCAACAGGAAACGTTAGATATAAAAAAAGCCCGTTAACTGAGCTTTGCGCAACAACGGGAGTTGCTTTACGTTTTTCATAAGATTGCTAAATGTAGATTTTAAAAATGATTTTCATTTAGATGAAGAAGATGTTCGTGTTGGGAGAGGGGGCGCATTACCATATTGTGCATGAAACTTCTCCGCGTCCTCATCCTTGAGCTCTTTCTCAATGTCAGGGATGTCATGTTGTTGATAAAAGCGCTCATCTTGTTGGGCCAATAGTTGTAGTAGTTGCGCGTCGGACATCGCATCCGCATCTCTCCGTTGGTAATCCGTTTCAAAATCATCTCGGCTTTGACAAGAAGTCCCGATATGTCCTTTACCTTTGCATGAAGTAGGATGATTCCTCCCAATCTCCTATTTTCGGTTGCGTTGGAGGTTACCCATATCTACAGAATGTTTACCACGTCCCATCTTAAAATGTAACAAATATTAAATTCTAACAAATATGTTAATGTGAGTAGAAAAACAATGCAACTAATAACAATTGTAAGTAATTTGTAACAATACTTAAAATGTGACTTTTATATTTAAATGTAAGTAATGAGATTACACTAAAAAAGTGACTTTTTTTTATTAAAATGTGACTAGTAAAATTAAAGCAATATTCCAAGTAGTTTAATAAATACTTTAATCCAACAAGTGTTAATATAACAAGGTAAGTAAAATTAAGGGAAATTACCCAAAATAGGAGCAAATGACACTTGGAATTCCAAAAATAGGACTAGTATGTTTTTCTTCCCGAAATATGAGTTATTACTGTCATGTATGAAAAATATTGTCATGATTGAAAAATACTGTCATTAATTATAATGAATACTGTCATGTTAAATGCACAGTACTGCAACTATTTGGCAGTCACAGCTGCCAGATGACAGTAAATACTGCCATGTTAGTCCCATTTCGGAAATAAAAACAAAGTAATTCTATTTTGGAATTTCAAACTTCATTTACTCCTATTTTGGGAAATCTCCCTAAAATTAACTAAATTTCCAACTAGTTTAATAGTTTAATTAACTAAAATTCCAACTACTTTAATAATTCAATCTAACAAGTGTAGTAAAATTAACTAAAATTACAACTAATTTAATAGTTTAATTAACTAAAATTCTAACTACTTTTATATTTTAATCTAACAACTGTAATAATATTAATGAAAAATGTAATTAATAGGAAAAATGTATGAATGTATACTAATTAATGGGAGTGTGCTTGTGTAAGTAATAGGATAAATTTAACTAATATTAATTAAAGTGTAACTAATATATAATATATTTATTTATAGTATAGAATATATAAGTATACTACTATAAGATACTTAATATATTAATTAGATGTAATATATGTAAATATAATTAAATAACAAGTATATAATAAGTATATTAAGTAGATAATAAATATGAGTAAATATAATATATGTATTTATAAGTGGATAATAAATCTATAAGTAGATATAATAATTGTATAACTAATATATAATGGTAGATTCTATGATACCCATAAGGTACCATACCTTTGTCCACATGGACCAATGACAGTGTTGCAGTTGAATTATTTAAATCTAAATTAAAAATGATATAATGATGTGAACCACTCAAGTGAATGACAGGTACGGTACCCCATTTTTTAAATGGGTACCAGAGTTGTCACCATATATAATATAAGGTTTATAGTATATAAGTATACTACTATAAAATGAGTAATACACTTATATATAATACTTTAATATATATACTAAATATATTAATTAGATGTAATATGTAAATAAGTCAATAAAAAGTATGATAGTATATAATAAGTAGATATTAAGTAGATAATAAGTATATATTAAGTAGATAATAAATATAAGTAATATAATATATGTATTTATAAGTAGATAATAAATATATAAGTAGATATAATAATTGTATAACTAATTTAAATAGATATGATATATATTAATAGGTGTAGAGAGAATTGGAGAAGATGGAGATGATTAAAGAGTATTAGAGAGTAAGAAGAATTGGAGAATAGGTGTAGAAAAATATTTAGAATATAGGAGTATATATAGTTTTTTTTGTACCCCAAACCCCCAAACGCCCCTCCAACGGCTATAGAGCCCTTTGGCACTTTAAAAACGGCTAGGAGCAGCTAGGGATGGACTCGGGCCGGGCCAACCGGCCCGGAACCGGACCGGCCCGCTACTGTGCGGGCCCGGACCGGCCCGGTGAACCGGTTGGTGCCCGGTTCGGGCCACCCGGCCCGGTCTTCTAGCGGTTCGGTCCCGGGCCTGCATTAAATGTGACCGGGCCGCAACGGTCACATTTAATTTTTTTTTTTAAAATACTAGAAGGCTCCATAGCCGTTGGGAGAGCTCCCAAACGGCTCTATAGCCGTTGGGAGCATAGGAGGGGGGGTCTGGGGGGTTAGGGGGGGTGGGGTGGGGGTGGGGGTGGGGTATACAAAAAAAACCTATTTATACTCCTATTTTCTATACATTTTTTACACCTCTTCTTCTACAACTCTTCCTACTCTCTAAATTCTCTGTTCTCTCAATCTCTCATATTCAATCATCTTGATTCTTCATCTTCTCCAAATTCTTTCTACATATATATAATTTATATAATTATTATATCTACTTATATATTAATTATCTACTTATAAATATATACTTATACACATTCATATTATAATTCTTTACACATTATATTATATATACTATATATAGTTATACATTATATTATATATTACTTATAATATATTTACACATTATATATACTATATATACTTATACTCATTGATATAGACTTATACACATTCATACATTTTATAAAAGTAGTTAATTGTTAGACTTCTCGTTTATCTATTAAATTACTTAATTGTTTCATTTGTCATATTAATATTAGTTAAAGTAGTTAATTGTTTCATTTGTCATATTAATATTAGTTAAAGTAGTTAATTGTTTCATTTGTCATATTAATATTAGTTAAAGTAGTTAAAGTTAATTGTTTCATTTGTCATATTAATATTAGTTAAACTACTTAATTGTTACATTTCTCATATTAATATTAGTTAATTGCTACATTGCTCATTAAAGTTAAAAAAAGTAGTTAATTTTTACATTTCTCATATTAGTTAATTGCTACATTTCTCATTAAAGTAAAAAAAAAGTAGTTAATTTTTACATTTCTCATATTAGTTAATTGCTACATTTCTCAAAAAAAAGTAGAGCAACTCCCGCTACTGAACAAAGCTCAGGTAACGAGCTTTCTTTGTATCTAACATTGAATGTTGATTATGAAGTTGGTGATGACTTTGACGTTCTTAAGTGGTGGAAGAAAAATGAAAGAACGTTCCCGATTTTATCAAAGATGGCTAAGCAAGTGCTAGCAATGCCGATATCAACCGTTGCCGTGGAACAAGAATTTAGTGCGGCCGGCAACGTCCTAACCGATTATAGAACGAGGTTGAGCCCGAACTCTCCTGAGACACTAGTTTGCTTTCACGATTGGTTGAAGGCCCAATGAAGAACTCAAGAAATTACCATCGCTCCCACCCGCCACTTTATGGAAGAAACAACCGAAGACGGAGATTCCGATTGATTTTTTATTACAAAATGTATTACATTTTTTAAATTCATCCTAATTCTCAATTGTACTTCTTATTTGAAATAAATATACTTGAATTAGAATATAATATATTGTAATTGTAATAAGAATTATTCTAATAATATAATATATAATAAAAAAAATTAAAATTAAAAGGCCCGGCCCGGCGGGCGGCCCGGCCCGTGAACCGGGCGGGTGACCCGAACCGAACCGGACCCGGGGTTATCCGGGCCGGTTCCGGGCCTGCCTTCCGTGAACCGAGGTCCGGCCGGTTCAAGGCCCGAACCGGGCCCGAACCGAGTCCACTACTAGGAGCAGCCATTTTTTATAATTTTTTTTTGTTAATATACTAGCCCTTGCAAGCCCGGACCGGTCCCCCAATTCCCTGTCCCATAGCCCGCCCCCTTCCCCCGGTTCGGGCCCCATGGACCGGCACCGGTCCCTGTCGGCGGTCCGGTTCGGTACTAAACATCCGCGCTGGCCGGTCGGGTCGAACCGGGCCCGATCCATCCATAATCTCACACCCCTTCAAAGTTTGAGATATTTTAATTATTTTTCCCAAATAATAATTACATCAAACAAATTACATTTATCACCATTGTTACCATCATTACATTTATCATCATGTTCAATACTAGTATACTACTACGGTATAATTTTAATAACTTCTCAAATCACAACACACACAAAATCTTACAATCCGAAAGTTTCTTCACCCAAATTCTGAATGAATTTGTCAATGTAACTGTCGGCAAATCCATTGCTCAAAAACAAATCCCTCCACTTCGTGTGGTTCTTCTTCAACAGACCACCCAGCTTGCGCTCTTCATCCATGGCTGTCTTAACACCTCTGCTAATCCTCTCCTTTGAAAACCAACCATTTTCACCCTTTTCCATTTCCACTTCCACTGCAAGCTGAAGCTCTTCAGTCATGAGCCTGGCATTCAGAGCATAGTCTATCCTTGTTGGCATAAACACTATTGGGCAGTCACTCAAGAAAGATTCCCACATTGAGGCGGACCCACCGTGACTCACAAAGCACCCAATTGATATGTGCATTAGAATCTGAGTTTGGGGAACCCACCCTTCATACAACATTGCCTTTCCTATTACCCTTTCCTGGAATCCCTCTGGTAAGGCTTCTTGAATGGAAGCTGTCCCTTTTGGCGGTTTAATGCCAGCCAGAAGAAAGGGTAGCCCTGTGAGTTCCAGGCCTAGGACAAGTTCTTGGAAATGGTTAATTTCAAGAACAAGTTCACTTCCAAATGAGCAGAAAACCACAGAAGCACGATTAAATTTGTTGAGAAAGATTGAAATTGTGTCATCTAACGGCTCTTTTCTTGGTTCGGGGAAGAGAGGGCCAGTGCAAAACACTAATTTCCCGTAGAGCATTGACAGGTTGTTGCAATGGACGCCTTCGATTTCTTTGCAGGTTCTCACTGCCAATGCATCACTATGTTTGGCTCCGGATACACTCTTACTGACGATCTTTCTTATATTGTTGTTGGGTTGACTAGCTAGCAATGCCAATGAGCGTGCTTCGTGTTCGCGAAGAATGGGCACATCAGAAGAAGGGTAGCTTAGGAGAGATTCTATAAGATCAGACGATTTCAATGGCTTCTCTTTGTTTGTGGAGGTTAGCAGAGCGATTGCAGATGATGCAGGGCTAACGACACTGAAAAATACCGTCTTGCAGCCTATCTCTGAGGCTATATTTGGTATCCAATCGGCAAAATCAAAGAATACGAAATTTGGCTTCTCCACCTTGAGCACCGCCTTTACCTGATCCTGCATTCCGTCCATGGCTAACAACAGCGCTATTGCATTATTCGTATCAGATGTGGTCTCAGCCCCATGAGGGAGACCTACAAAGAATAACATCTTTTATGATAAGTTATGATCTGAAATCACATAACTGGGAAGGAATCAGAATATTATGATCCATATTTTAGAATGTTGTTCCCTTCATTTTTTCAGTTTCTCTGTACGGCTTTTATTATTAAGTTTCTTAATGCTTTCTCTATTTCCATTTTGTCAACTACCAGTTTACATCATCATTTCTTTCCTACATTTCCATAATTCCATATACTGCTCCATACTCCTTTTCATTTTTTCCCAGTGTTGACTGCTCCTACTATTTTACTAGTGCAACTAGCTAATGAAAAACGGAGTGAGTAGCCAGCATATATTTTTGGGGCACCTCTCAGAAATCATTATACTAATGAAATTAAACCGGACACTTATATTGAAGACAATTATCTATATTTCCAACTATACAGCTAGTGGTGTCTCCTCAGACAATACATTAGTGTGATATTATACGTTTTAGGCCAAGGCTACATGCATTTGTTTTTCATACCTTCTAAAAGGTAGGCTCATAGTAATCGAATTAAATGAACATCTAAGTTAACTCCATTAGTAGGACTTGCTGTTGCATTTCATGCAGCATACAACACTCTGAAACATTTCTGGGTGAAAAGGATAGTATGGACAAATAAACAAGTAATTGGCATTTTAAAGGGACATTTTATTTGGAAACAATTTTGAGACAGTTATAAAAGAGAAAAAAGGGAACACTCCCAATGTGTACATTTCCATGTGAAGGGTACATTGAAATGATGAAATGAGCTTTTATCAAATACAAACTGAGCATTTGGTATATTCAATATTGTAACTTGAAAAGTGAGAGAAAAGAATTACAATTAAAGAAATTTCTCTAGATAGGAGTCCTAGGACTAGGACTAGGACTATAGGAGTAAAAAACATGGTTGTTTATCTCAATAAAAGTATTATGTTTATCCCTTAAATAAGATTAAATACTACCCTAGTGCGCATTAATATTGCCAAATCAGTGTCTTGCAATGCCATATGCACTATGAATTCAGTATAACAGCAATCTAATCATATTTAGAGGGAGCTCCTAGTTATTCCCCTATTTTGGTAAAGTTCCCTCAATGAGCATCCTTGAGTTTCTAACTGAGTAAAAGTGCAGAAATACATCTAATTGCTCCAAATTGCTCCTAAAATCAGTTTTTTAAAAACCGAGAGACCAGCTTCTGAAAAACAGATTCTAATTCTACTTATGCTTTTAAAAGAGAAGCAGCAGAATCAATTCTAAATACCCAAAACACCGGAGGTGTGAAATCTGTATCAACTCCAAAAACAAGTGAAGTGATGAAATGAAAATGAATTTGCAATGAATCTAGCTATATCTGTATCTATAAAGTCAAAGACAACAAATAAATTAAACGTGCAATGCTCTCCGTAAATGAACTAACCTTCAACGTGAGGGACTGAAAGAGAATGAAAGGTGATGAGGTGAGGGTGAAGATTGGCGTGGGATAGTCTGCGGCGAGCGGTTTGAGGGAGTAAGAAGGAGACAGAGTGGCCTCTTTTGGCGAGGTCGTTGGCTAGCTGGAGGAAAGGAAACATGTGGCCGTACGCAAGCCACGGAAACATGGCGAAGTGATGCCGACGATGCTCTCTTGAATCCATGGCCGCCGCCGTACTCCGCCGGAACCGTTTTGTGATTTTCAGTCACTTTCTATTGGTACTACCGAGTAAATACTTCCAAAGCAAGTAACATAGGCAGAATTGTCAAATAAACCCTCGAACTTTCATAAGGAGTGCAAATAAGCTATTTAGAGGAGGTTTTGTGCGGCCGTTTCTATTTGCGGCGGTTTCCGGTGGAATTTTTTGATGAATTTTTTTGAGTATCTTCTTCATTAAGTCTAGTTTATTCATAACAAATTTCATCTAAAAATTCAATCGGGAAGGCAGTCAAATGAATTTTTTAAGATAACTGTGCAGTTAAACAACACAATATATTTCAGAAAATCATTTGACTGTCTTCTCGATTGAATTTTTAGCTGAAATTTGGTATGAGTAAACTAGACTTAATGAAGAAGATGCTTAAAAAATTGCATAAAAAAATTCCACCAGAAACCGCCCCAAACGGCGGCGGCCGGACAAAGCCTCCGGTAAAAGGGCTTATTTGCACTTTTTATGAAAGTTCGAGGGCTTATTTAATAGTTCTCCCATTAAGATATTACTTCCCAAAGTAAATACTTCCCAAAGTAAGTGAGATTAAGGAGATATAAAATATTGAGGGTACGATGAGAAGATAATGAAATAGTGAGCCCGACAGTAAGATTTAGAAATGAAAAGATAAGAATGTTACATCTAAAAATAGTAAGGAAAGTGGAAAGATATGAGTATTACAGAGAGAGTATCAAATAGTGGTGTGTCAAGTAAGAAGATTACGTGTTTGATGCTTAGGCAGTTGGTATACCGTGGGAGCAGCCCACGGTGAGCATGCTGCTCCCACCACAAAAAACGCGTTACTGTTCACGCACGTGAACAATAACTTATTTTTTATTTTTTCATTGTCCCAATAACGGAATAGGTGTAACTCGCGTGTAACAAAATGTAACTCGCGCACAAAAATATGTAAGCCCCGCATAAGAAGATGTAACTCTATGTAGTATTACATATCACTTTAGGAATCATGTATGAATGTAAATTGCACACTTGAAAATGTAATCACTTGTTTTATTAAATGTGAATCGCACACTTGAAAATGTAATCACATGTTTTTATTAAATGTAAATGAAAATAATGAAACTCAATGCATTGAAAAACACTAAAAACATACGGAGTATAAAAGAGATAAGAAATTATTTCACATAAAAATATGATAGAAAAAAGTAATTGTAAATCGTAATCATTCTTTAAATATTTTAATAAAGGAATTGAAGATCATTGACAAAGAAAACAAGTTAGAAAAGAAGAAAGAGTCGTGGAAGCATGGCTACTCAATTATTAAAATATGCCAGAAAGCATGGATATAGAAAACGTAAGAGAAAGAAGGAAAGGTCAAATGGAAGAATAAAAAAACTGGGTGAAGGAAGTTGTGGGTAAAAACGGTGCTCGAGAAAAAAAAATGGAGTAAAAAACGGAGAATAAAAGATGGTCAAATGAGAGAAGAATATTTGACTACTTCATTTTTAATTAAAAAACGGTGCCGTATTGGGATCGGCACACCATGCGCATAGTGGGTCGATCCCATGGTATAATTTGCGATTCTTAGGTGTTCGTATACCCTCTGGTATCAGCCCACAGTGAGCACCATGCTCCCACACTCAAAACGATGTAGTTTCACACAACTATTTAAAAAAAAATCGCATGAACAATATACGCGTGTACAGTAACTTTTTTTCATTTTCATCCGAGTAGCATGAATGATGTAACTTGTGCATAATTAGACGTAACTCGTGTTGTTACAAATGTAACTTCAGTTAACAACTAATGTAACTTGTGCCCAGAAATATACTCATGTTTAATGAAAAAAACGAGTCTAATTGTCCAATTATTTTACATAAATAGGGTTATATGTTTTGTTTTTAATATTAGGTGCATTAAAAATGATTTTTAACAAGAAAATTATTTTTGATTGAATAACATAGGTTTATATTGTTGTGTAACTCGAATTGTTTTGTTGTGTAACTCACGTGTTACAAAATGTAACTTTAGCCAAAATGAAATGTAATTCCATTGTATATGAAATGTAACTCTATAATATCAACAAAGCAAACAAATAGCAGACTAATTAATAAATAAACATTTGTTAATTAAATAGAAAATACGGAGTATAATTAAACATTTGTTAATTAATTAATTCGTTATCTAAACCCTAGGAGAGTGTTTGGATAATACCCGACGTGGTATTATCCCTCATATTAGGGTAATTGGGAGGTTCTAGCTCCGGTGAAAATGGTCTTGATGGCGATGGCGGTTATGGAGGGTACGTCGACGATCATGGTGTCGAACACTAGGGACAGTGTTTCGAAAAAAGTGTAGGGGAGGAACTCATTTTTTAACCTTGTAACTTGCATTATTTTTCTTCAAAAAAAACAAAAAAAAAGTAATAAAAGAAAAAATGCTAGTTAGGTTGAAAACCCAGAAAAAATGGGCAATCTAAGCAAAAGTGGCTAAAATGAGTGAGTTGTGAGAAACGAAAAATAAAAAGAGAGACTAGGATGAAAATCTGAAAAGGCTCCTAGGCAAAATGAGAGAATGAGAGAAAAATATCTATTTATGCAGGAAGATAATGAGAAAGGAAAGATGAGAGCATGGAGTTGAAGACCCCTTTTAATCACGGGGGATTTTTTATGATTTGTCTCAAGAAAAAAACTGTTGGATAGTTGTTCTGCTACTCTTGTGGTTTTGAAAACTTCATGGGAAGGTTTTAATTTACTCGAGACGAGTAAAGGTTCAAGTGTGGGGGTGTTTGATAGGCACTAGTTGTTAGTGCATAAGTATACATTTTTATTATTGTTTGTGATGATTATTTACTATTATTTTGGAAGTTTGTAGCCATTAGTTTAATTTGATTGTAATTGTTTTTTTAGCATTTAATTGTATGATGTAAGAAGTAGTTAGTTAGGCTATAAGTTTAGGAGAAGTTTGGAAGCAGAAAGGATGAAGGAATCTGAGTTTTATGCAAAACCCGGTCTTGTATGGCCTTTACCCTACCGGGTATGAAGTGAAAAAGGAAATTGCTGCAAAACTAGCAAATACTTGGTTGGGTATTCCATATACCCGGTCGGGTATGAAGTGATTTCGGACAAAAAGACGTGCAGAAGAGCACACGAACGTGGGAAAAAGAGATGATTTGACAAATTGATGGTCCCTGATAGAGGTAAAAGTCTACAGGGGTGAATAGGCTTTTAAAGCCTTTTCAACTTTAAAGACTTTTCCCTTCTAGAAGAGTTGATCTATAATCTTTTGGGAGATTTATAGATGCACAACGGAAGTCTTTAACCTCTTATGTAAATAGTGTATAACAACTTTCTATGATTGATGAAGTTTGGACTTTATTTGGTGAGCAGTTGGCTTGGCAGTTGACTGAATGTCAGGAAACTGCTGAGGCAACTGCTAAGGAAATATTGAGTGTATTGTGAAAGTGGAAGCTGAATCTTTCTCAGAATGAAAAGGGCTATCTGATGATGTGATGAGGTGGATTTATAATCAACCTTACTGAGAGCAGTGGTCTCAGCAGTTGGGTGGTAACCAGGGAATTGCTGAGGTACCTGCTTAAGTAAAAGTGAAGGTATGGGAAGACTGATTATATAGTGTTGCTCAGGGTGATGAGGGCTTTCTGAAGATGTGCTTTGGTACAAGTAAGTGGGAGTTTTACTAGAGCAGAGGTCTCGACAGTTGGGTGGTAGTGAGGAAGTTGTTGAGGCACCTGCTAGGTTTCAGCTTAAGTTTCAGAGATCAGTTTGAGCTAACTCATTAGTGAGAGTGTTGTGAAGATCTGGTGAAGTTTTGATGTTCAAGAGAAATAAGTTTATATGAGCAGTGGGCTCAGCAGTTGGGTAGTTACCAGGGGACTGCTGAGACACCTGCTATGCCTTAAGATGATTTCCAGAGATTTGATATAATAGGCCTTTTTGTGGTACTATTTTAAGGCTTTTGTATCTCAAAGAAAGTGAGCTATTTAAGCAGTAGGATAAGCAGTAGGGTCAATTAAGACTTACTGCTTAGGATGCTGCTGGCAAACTACAATCTTTTGTGAGAAGTGTTTGGTGTGTGCTTTGTTGATGAGAAAGAAATCAACACACAGTATATCCTGGTTCAGACGTGGTGTAATCCTTCTACGTCCAGTATCACCCTCTTTCATATGGATTTCCACTAAAGTATTAAGCCCAATACATTTAGTGCCAATCTAGCCATTACAACACTTAGGCCTGGATTGAAGGTTTTTTACAATGAGTATAACACCACTCAAAGTTACTCAGTCCTTAGACTTTTCTCAAATGATCCAGTGGGGATCAAAAGGTACTCTATCTATCTAACCACACTGTAGGATCCGAACAACTGTTCTCCTAAGTGTTTACAACAATTTGTGATTTGATTACAAGAAAGTTCTAACCTCCAACTAGGAACTAAACTTCTAGGATTTAGCAATTAACACTTGTGACTAAGAAGTTTAGTGAAACATGAGTCTAAGCAGAGAGTAAAGTATAGAATCGCACTTTCTCTTTTGCTAGATATCTCGTGAATGCTCTGTGAAGTATTTCTCTACTTAGGATGCTCAAGCTTGGTTTGAAACTTTCGTTTCAGCCTATATTTATAGACTTCTCATGTGGATTAATCCCATCCGTTGGTTAGGATATTTAATCTCTTTCGTTGAATATTGGACAGGGACGAGTTGTTTTATTTGTCTTCTTGTGCTAGAGCTGATTTCCCGGTGATTTCCTTTGTCTTCAGCCGCTGAAATATCAAAAGCAGTCCCATGTGTGCGCTTCAATGCTCCGGACCCCAGTACTATTCTCGTATTAAATACATGTCAAATTTTGTCGTCAATCATATACATTCAATGTATATGATTTTCGAACCTATTTTCTTTTCGTGACTTTTAATTAATCTTTGAGCTAAATAATATATGCCGGTAGAATCTAAATATCCTATTAAGGTAAATAAAAATTACCTTATTGCATTTTAACTTTCCCGATAATATTTAATTCGACTCAAAAATTGTATATTTTATTTTGTCACATAATTTTGAATGCTAACACACGAATAATACTGAGACACAATGTA